TTGTACTTGGGGAAATTCTACTTGCATCATATTTACCCGGTAACGACGGGTGCCTACACAGGATACACACTATGTAACGAATATTTACTAACAAAATCCGCCTATTGATGCTGCTGTATTCATAATTAACTTGTACGGTATTTGTTCAGGTCAAGATAAAGTTTAATACATTTGCAGGCATTGACGAAGGACCTGGATTTCTCGGTCCCTAACTGGGAGACGGTGTACGGCCATACGGACATGAAGCGTGACATTAACCTAGTGAGTAACACGAAGGGCTAGTAACGAAGACAACGGGTTAGTAACAAAGCGAGTAACAGTATTAGCTAGTGATATTAACAGTAATGGTTAGTGATAATACATTTCTGTCGAGTACAGCACATACACAATATGGTTGTCTGAACCGGATACCCATGATCTCCCTCTTCTTATTTTCACTGACGTACACCTTTAGACTCCTTGACTGTATAGATTTCTAAGGATAAATACTTAGTTAAGTATGGTGTATCTTGTAAACCATGATGTTGACAAATGGAGCCAGTGTGTTGAAAAAAAAAATCTGCGTTTCAAAATCCAAAAGCAAACCTTATTTTATAAAGTATATATGGAAAGGTTCTTGTGTAATGTTATGATTTCCTTGTAATGCCTAATAAGTGTTGTCATACCTCGGATTTCATCACTTAAATAAAAGGTAGTTGACTCGCCTTCATAAGTACAAAAGTTTAATCCATTCCCAACAGTGTCGTGAATATGTTTTCCGCCTCCCATAACCATTCTTTTAATAACCACATAGTCTAAGGTGTTTTGTTGATCTTGCAGCCTGTTACTTTTTCATTTGGAATATATTATCGCTGTGCACTACAGATGTACTTCATTATCTCTTAACACAAGCTTAAATATCAAAATTCTTTTTTTTTTACTTGCATCAGGTAATGGTGCCAAGTGACGTCAGACCCGTGACACTAGAGGTGAAAGCCAGACTGAGGGAACTTCCCGACCCCGTCTCCCTGCAGAACCAGGCACTGAGTCAACTCGTCTCTCAGCTCGAGGTTAGTGTGGTGGAGAGGGAGCCTTGAAGAGAGGAAGTAGGCTTTAGGTAGATGTGAGTGAGGGACAGTGGTTGCTGGTATTTAGGTGGCGAGGGACCCGGCCGGCTTGAGTGATTTGGGGGCCTCCTGCAAAATGCCACAAGAGCCCCTATACAGAGCTGTTTGTTGAGGGGGTCCCCCAATCTACTCTCCACAAAATAATGTACAGTAAAATAAGCTGGTTTGGGGGTACTAAAAAGTTTTAAATCTAAATCATATACACTGCAAATAAAAAAACGATGTCAATGTAACCTGTTTCAGAATTTAAACTAAAAAGTGATACTTTCTGGAAGGATCCTGTACTACCAGTAATCGTAGATAAGGGCGCTCAATAACATTTGTCTCGCTTGGGGGCTCCTCGATGTCACGGAGTCCCCTGCAACTGCACGGGTTGCAATCCCTAAAGGCCGCCCCCTGACCAGGGAGCGTTCGTGGCTTAAGTAGGGGGCTCGGTGTGTATTATTTTGATCACTTTTAATAACTATTGCTAAAGTGAAATAATCCTTTAAATCCGACCTGGGTGATCTTATGTTTTGAGGTGGTAGTAGTTTGTTGACTTGATAGTTTTGGTGACAAACGTTAAATAATGACTCGTAATTACAAAGTTACACATTAGTATGAGTTTTATTAAAGTGTTTGTATTCAATTTTTTTTAGTTTAGTCACAAATAACCAAATCCTGGCTGTTAAAAAAAAAATCTCACCTTCAGCAAGAATTCAAGCGACAGTCACAAGTGATAGAATTGGCTGAAGAAAAACTTGCCCACAGCGTCCTGGGGAAGACTACTATCAACGCTAATGTTACTGTGGTCGATGGAATTACCGTTGTTGGTGTAAGTAGCTGTCTCTCTAACGCTGCAAGTGTGTATATCTGACACTGCCAGTCTGTGTCGCTGCTGGTGTTGTAACTGAAATATTGAACCCTCACGTTGGTGCCGGGAGCCTTGGTCTTGTATCACCTTATTTTACCTTAACTCTGCAGATTCTGGAAACGGGGGAGCTAAAAGCCAAGGAGATTTTGCTGACGGAGGCGAAGTTCGGCGGTGACACGACCCACGGTCACCAGAGTTACCCACACGTCACCAACCTCAGTTACTACGAAAATCTGCTGGATGACCTCAGGTTCAACGTCAGCAACTTGATCCAGAAATTAAATAGTGAGTCAATAAGAGGGTAGAGTGGATTGGAGTTGGTTATGGTAAATTCTCAGGATATTATGGTATTTAATTTAATTCTGAAAATGAATTGCCACTATTACGGTGACTTCACCTTCAGGAGCGTTCAACTGTTGCTTGAAGTGAGGTCATCGTGGTTAAACTGGTTTATATTTTCTTTCGGCATCTAAAACTCTGCATTCTTAAATTGCACAACAACCCAATTGTGGTGTACATAAACTAATATTAAACTCTTTACTGAAGAAATCGCCGACAACTCGGAAAGATAAACAAATAAGAATCAACTTCGTGTGAAGTGAAAGTTATTGTCAGGTATTTTTTGTCATGTGAGGAAGGACGAGAAAATAGGAACGTTTAATTTTCAAACAAGTTAATATTTGATATTGTTTGACTCCTTCACTCTCTCCCCCATCACCTTCATCTCTCTTCGCTTCCTTCCTCTCCCCGCCTCCTGTTTTCCTCCGCCTCCCTCTTTCTTCCTTCATTCCTCTCCGTCTTCCTTCATTCCTCTCCCTTCCTTCCTCTCTCCCTTCCTTCCTGTCTCTCTCTCCCTTCCTTCCTTCCTCTCTCCCTTCCTTCCTTCCCCTTCCTTCCTTCCTTCCTCCTCCTTCTTCCTCCCTCCCTCAACCTTCCTTCCTTCATCTCTCCCTCCCTTCCTTCCTCTCTCCTCCTCCCTCCCTCAAACTTCCTTCCTCCCTCCCTCCCTCCCTCCCTCCCTCCTCAACCTTCCTTCCTTTCTCTCTCCATCCCTCCCCTCAACCTTCCTTCCTTCCTCTCTCTCTCCTCCCAACCTCCTCTCCCTCCTTCCTCCCCCTCCCTCCCTCCCTCCTTCCTCTCCCTCCCTCCCTCTCCTTCCTTCCCTCCCTCTCCCTCCTCTCCCTCCCTCTCTCCCTTCCTCTCTCCCTCCCTCCCTCCCTCCCTCCCCTCCCTTACTCTCCCTTCCTCCTCCAGATGCTGTGCCTAAGTCTGGTAGTAATCGCCTGATAACGGGGGTGAAGAGTGTCGAGGATGCTGGGTTGGATATCACAACCTTGATCACCGAGCACCTCACTGTCAGGCAGCCCCTCGACATTTTCGGGAACCCCTTCCCTTTGGACGATATCCTGGCGGGGATGGTCAGGTAGGTTAACACATTTTCCTGTAACACCATTAGACTCCCCTCGGAGCATAAATAAGAGGAAAGAGGATCATATTCCCCCTACCATAATGGCTGCTATAATACTGTAGAATATGGGTGACGTCACATTGATTAATTATAGGAGCTGATTATTTAAGAGCACCTGATAGTTGTAAAAGGTACTTGCTTGTTCACCCTCGATATAAACAAACCAGTACTTTATCAATAACTTGGTGAGAAGTGAAACAATAAGTGTACATAATTTGCTATACAGTACTGTCTTGGATAAAGTGTAACGTTCACGTGCAGGCATAACGACACGCGCGTCATCACCGGGCGGAAGACCTTCCTGGGCACACTGACAGTGGGTGACCTCAACACAGGTTATCTGGACGACATTCCAGTGAACGACATTGTGACAACCGAAGGCCCACAGACCATCGCCGGCGCCACCTTCACCTCCGGTTTGAAGGCGAGAAACATCGTTGTGAAGCCAGGAGGAACTGTTGGTGGCATCGACTTGTCAGAAGAGGCGGTACTTTTGACTGCAGAGACGACACTTGGTACATATTTCTGGTTGTCATTCTAATCCTCTTCTAGCACAAACCTCTTCATTTATCCAAGTGCTTTCGTTAGTCCTTCCTTATGTGTGTTTGTCGTTGTCTTTGGAATGTTTCAAGACCAAATTCAATAAACAAATCTTTATTTTCTTGTTCATTTGTTCCTATTAGAACGAATGGGAGTAACACGTACTGAAACGGCACTCGACTGTTAATTATTTTATCGTAAATTTATTCTTGTTTAATGAAGGATCGTTATCAAATATCCAGTTAAGATTAGGGTGATTCGTAATTGCTTAGGGTTTTTTAGTACCAAGGCTGCACCAGTACCAACCCCACATACCCCGAGTTTTAATTATATACTCGTTTTGTCCGTAGGTAATTTATCGATATATCAGTCGGGTAATCGCTCACTGATATTTTAAATTTCATTCTAAATCAAATAATACCGTCTCGCTTAACTTATCCTGTTCATCTTTATTGGCTCTGAAACCCTCCGCCTTTCCTCGAGTCGGTGTGGATATTGATAAAAAAAGAAAAATTACTGCATTTTCTTGCAATTCGTAAATGGCGAGAGTTGCCTTAATGATTATATGTTACTGTCCCTTAGAAAAGGAGACGACGAGAGGTGGTATTACAGGTCCTCCACTTCAGACAGTCATATGCCATCTAATAGACCGACATTTCGAAAACTAATACGTTATCCCTTCGACTGGTGGCCACTCGTTTATACCCACACTGATTCATTATACTGTGTATATATATATATATATATATATATATATATATATATATATATATATATATATATATATATATTATTCTGTTTATAGATTTTAACTCTATTGTATATTAAAAATTTTGCTTGCATCAATAACCGGTTGAAGTCGATAAAAAAAATTACTTTTTTACAACCATCTATCTTTTTTAGGCCACTTGTCTTCATTTTCTCCCCAACGTAGTGCTTGAAACCATATGTTGAAATAAAACTTGTAGAATTTTTGTTTATTACAGGTGTGTCTCTTGTGTTTCAGGTTCCTGCACCTTTACCAGAGATCTTTTTGTCGACGAGATGGTATCCGTGTCGGGGTATGTAAACGGAATTGACATTAACCAACTAAGCACCAACGCCCTTACGGTGAGAGGGGGAACTATACGAGGCTCTTTGTCCTTCTTTAATTCCTTGATTATTGACACTCTCGAGGCACAATCCATTATGGGAATCAACACCGCTTATTACATGTCGACGACGGTATTCAAACATGCGCCTGCCGTGATGGGAGGAACCTTGGTTGTCGAGACAGCGGTGGAGACCAAGGGGGACTTGATTGTTGAGGGATACATCAATGACAAGAGCTTCCCAAAGGACTATCCCCTTCAGACACACACTAATATTAGCTTTGGATCGAAGAGGTTTAAGAATTTGTACGTGGGTTCAGTGAGAGTTGGCCCAGACTGCCTAGTGGACGGTCTATCCCTCAACAGAATAGTGACTCTCCATACATCACAGATTATCACTGGAGAGAAGACCTTTGCCCAAGGTGTTTATATCAAAGGAAATCTAGACATAACCTCCAAGTTACTAGATGGAGTCAATCTAGACGAGCTATATGCCAGTATGTCGCATATAAACACTTCAGATTGGAAGTTCGATGTTGTATTTGAGGCAGCTGTGCAGGCGCCGTCACTGTCTTTTGGTGGATCCCTCAATGACTTTGATTGGGTTAAATTCGCAGAAGATATTGTGTATGATGACGAAAACATGGTTACGATTTCCTCGAAGAAGAATTTTAGGTTAGGCCTGACCATCCGTGATGCAATCTTCAAAAGTACATTTAACGGAGAGAGTTTCGATAACCTGGTTACGACCAACAGTAAGCAAACCATTGGTGGAAGAAAAGAATTCCTTAATGATGTCACTTTCGGATCGCTGACAGTTGATCTATTAGATGGTGTTGACTTGGAGAAAATGGTTAAGTCGGCAGTGTACCTGAACAAGGAGGGACAAGTGGTTATAGGCAAGAAGAACTTCACCAGCACACTGACGACCAAGGGCCTGGAGATCACAGGCGGGATTGGGAATTTAGACTTGAGCAAAGTTGTGACCAAGAGTACAGATCAGACCTTCAGTGCTTCGCAGTCACTACGGTCTGCCATCTTCAGCACCCTGTACACTACATCCATGCAAATGACTGCTGGCTCCAGAATAAACACGATAGACTTATCTTTACTTAACAGTAGACACGTGAGTTTGACGTCCTCTAGTCATCACTCCGGAGTATTGACTGTCGAAGGACCAGTGTCAGTGCTGGGGCAGCTCACTGCTGGGACTCTTAATGGTCACGCCTTGGAACCTCTATTAAGCAATTTTGTCATGAAAGACCAATCCTCTGTCATCACGGGACCCGTAACGTTCGCAAGTCTTACCGTGCACGGACCTATAACAACGTATGATAAAGTGGGTGCCAATGGCTTAAACATAAGTCATATTGACCTAAATGCTGTTAAATTAAGCTCGAGTAATGTAATAAGTGGAGGCGTTACCTGGGGTCAGATCATCTTGAGGAGCGACGTGGCAGTGGGGGGACGCGTTAACGGAATCGACCTTTACAAGTTCAGTCAAGATTTAGTTTCCAAGGACTCGACTGACCTTCAAGTCATAACAGGTTAGTAATTACCCAGTGTAGATGATCAGTTAGGTCATGTAATGAAAATGTTAACCGTAAGGAAAGTGAATAATGAAATGGTACCATTAAACCAAATGTTATAATTTGATGCATCACAACACTGTATGCTTTACTTATTTTTAGGGAAGAAAACCTACGTAGCTGGGCTGACAGTACTGGGCAACATCGAGGCAATGACTATCAATGGTATCGACCTGAGCACCAAAATGCTGACCCGGCACACTGACCAGACGATCAGTGCCTCTTACACCTTCCTCAACCTGGAGGCCAAGAAGAATGTCACCATCAAGGGTCTTTACAACCAGGTCAACCTCACCCGGCTCACTGCGTCTAATGTCCTGGGAACTGACACCATACTCGGTTAGGATCTTTACTGACCATGAGGAAAGAAAACTTGTAGGATGATTTTAGGATTATTAAAAATGAATCGAACGTATTCCATTCCTCAATAAATAAAGTAGAAATGGTGCACCAGGCATCACAGGAAACGATCTAGTTAGCAATACAACATAACGATACTACAGTACAGACAATACTAATGTTCGTTCGCCGCTCCCCGAACCACGAGGCCAAAGGTTCCGACCCGTGAATCTGAAGCATTTATGGATAGAATAATGTATCAGTGCGGCTTCGGGTTCCCGAGTCGAAATCTTGGGGCTCAGGGGAGAGGCGAACTGATTTATGTATCATTCTTTTGAGATATCTTCAACATTGTCATGATGATAGTGCTAGACATAGTCATAGGAAGCAGTCGGTCTTAAATAATTGCTTCTATTACTCCAGGTAACGTGACCTTCTTCGGCGAGATGAATGTGGAACACTTCCGCATCTCGGGCTACTTTAATGGTATTGACACGGAGAAGAGGATGGCGGACGGTATCATGGTGCACGACATGGATGTTGTCATCACCGGTAAGAAGAACTTCCTGTCAAATGTGACCTTCAGAAACATCAATGTGGGCAGCATAAACAGTGTTCCTTTTAAACACTTTCTGGAGCACCTTGTACTGAAGAACGTCGCCAACAACATCACACACAAGATCACCGTGCAGGGGAGTGTGATAACTCCCCATCTTATTGCCAACACACTCACTGTCCAGGTAAGTTTATTTTTATTTGACATTTAAATAAAAAGTCATACGAGTGGTTGGAATTTGTGAAGATAGTCCTCGAAAATTGTCTTCGTTTATTTGGAATAACCTCCTGAGTGTGTACGGTGTCTTAACACCTAGATCACGTACAGTACCACTACCGCCGCCTTCCATTTTCTAGCTGCCAGCAGTTACTAGCATCACCTCGTGGATTGCGTTTGGATAAAAACTAAGGTTTGGTCCTGAAATAACGTTTTCCGAGTGCAGTATGTAGTTTAGTTGTGCAGCTTAGAAATTATCAAACGTCTTAAAGATTAAGTTCAGGTAACCATTCGGTAGTCCCCCCAATTGTACAGCATTACTAGCGTGAGAGTAACGTTGACGGCCCATGAACTGGAAAAGTGTACTCGGACACACGAGAACGATTAAGTAATGGACTTTCTTGAGGATACAGGAGAAATTTGGTGGAGGAGAATAGGCCCACCATTTCTTGCCACTTAATGGCTTTTCCAAAGTATTTCCTGTGATCCAACTCCCAGAAGGATTCTTCTCCTTCACATTCTACCTTGATTTTCGTACTGTTCTAATTATTGGGTAATTTTTCTTAATCGACTTATTTGCAAGAATTCCATGACCTCTTGTGGATCTATCCAGTAATTGATATGCATTAAGTACCAACTTGCAAATACAGGTACAGTAGCTAAAACAATTCTCTAAAAGTGGGGGTTCGATATGCTCCGAAATTTTACGTGCGACTGTTAACAGCCCTCGTATACCAAAATTTATCGTCCATGCTCTCGTATTGTTTCCCACAATGTATGCACAGATAGTTGTTCAAGCTACTGTACGTACAAAGGGCGATTTGTTTATTTCTAAAAAAAACTTATGAAAAAAGGTAAAGGTCACGACTCTCTGCAGGGCTCCGTGGGAGGGGTGGACTACAACAGACTCCTGAGAGAGGCGGTGTATCTACACAGCAACCAGACTCTCAAAGGCTCTTTGGTAAGTGACAATCGCTGCAATTTGTCAATTTTAATCCGAAAAACAGAAAATCTCACTGGAATTTTGACTTTGTAAATCTTGGTCTTAATATTGATACACTACTTCTGTTCTTAGGAAATGATAATGAATATTGATAAAATGATTGAATAAGAGTTACGTACAGATAGTAATCAAAACCTCCTACAGTACTGTGTGTGTGTGCCCCAGCCATTCTTTGACTCGCCTGATTACAGGTGTTCACTAAGGACTTGACTGTGATGGGCGACATCAGGACGAAGAATCTTAACGGACTGAGCCTGGAAACGGACTACCTCACCACCCACACCGTACAGACAGTCCCCTTCAGCGTCACCTTCGGCAACATCACCACTTTTGACGTCGTAGTGGATGGCACCGTAAACTCCTACAACCTGCCACAGGAAGTGGCGAACACCATGAAGGTGGGTTTGAGGGCTAGATAAGGAAAGGGCACAGCATATAGTTAAGCAAAAGATAATTCATGGTGTAGGTGAAGGGTGAGGATTTTAAAGGTAATTTGACAGCTGCTAAGGGATTCTAACGACTTGTGGTGTTTGACAGGCTATGGACGGCCAGAATGTGACTGGCAGGGTAACCTTTGCTGGGTCACTTGTGGTCAACAAAAACATAAGGTTGACTGGTCTTGTGGGAAGAAACAAGAAAATTGACTTGTCGGAGCAGGCGATACCTTTGAATGCAGATGTAGAAATTACAGGTAAGACGAGTCATAGTTAGTGCCAATATACGAAGATAATAACACCTGGTCCGTTTATTTATCGTTGCCTGAATACTTCTGTTTTTTAATAAGCCAAGTCCTTGACTATTATGTCATTTTACACATTTCCACGCCTGTCTTCTCACCTAACCAGGCTCTGTGATCTTTACCTCTCCATTGACTGTATCGACCCTCACCTGCACTCCCGGCATCGTGAACGGTGTTAATATTCCAGAGCTGTACAATAACGCCTGGTTTGTTGACGAACCCGCGGACATCACTGGTGCCATGGTCTTCAAGGGACCAGTCATATTCTTGGTAAACTTGTCCCTTAAGCATATTTAACTTTCATTTATGTAATGTCTTTAAGTTTTATCTTCATGGATGGACTACAATAATGGTTTGTCACACCAACTTACCTTCTTTAAAATTTACGAGAATTCAGATTCTTTTCGTGTAGTATTTTTTTAGTTCATTGGTATCCTACAAACCATAAACTATATAATCCACGTCTGTTGGTATATCCTTGCTGCTGTTGTAGTCATAATTGTTACTAATGATAGCCCTCTGGCGTGTTTACTCTCCCTATAATAACGTCCACCATCAGGAGGCACTGCTGCGCGACCCTTCTACGGAGCCGCTAAGGATTAGGGATCTCCACCAGAACATGACAGCCGTCATGACTAGGTTCAACAAGACCAAGTCAGAATTAGAGGTATGTAGTGGCTGTAGGCGTAGTCACACATTACGTTGTGTAGGTATATCACAATACGGTATAAGAAGACTTCAGTGACCGACTTTTCCTGTCCTCAGCCTGATGTATGTGCCTCTAAAGTGTAGCTGTGTTCTGTTAACTACTGTAGCTTGAGTGTTTATCAGAGGCTTGCTCAGTTCAGGGTACACTCAAGTACTTGCTATCATGCTCAGTATCTACAATACTCGGAAGTTAATCCACTGCCGTTTCCTGTACACTCCTTCAGTTGCTGTACAAGAACACGTGCTCACCAATCATAACACTCTACGATATGCTGGAGAAAGCGATCTTCGAGGGTGACCACTTCGCCTCCATCTATGAATACCTGACTCCTCGCCAACGGCACTCCTCCGCCACCTTCTTTGTAAGTACTCGCCAGAGGCATCATTTGGTGTATATTACAGTGGTTGAAAGCCAGATGATTGGACTTGGCAGTAGTTTTTTTTTGTCCCATGGCCCACAGGGGTTTAAAAACTTCTAGTTATATTTGAAAATTCGGTGAAGGAGCAATGACACATTAGGATGGTTTATTTTTGTCATTAGTGCCAAGAAAGTGTTTTTGTAGTTTAGAGTGGTTAATGTTTCTCTTTGGTTCTCATAGTTCTCACCTGTTGGATTTTGAAGTTTGGCTGGGGACTAGCCAGCCCCTAATGGCAGCCTTGTTCTAAACACAGTACTAATTCCAATGCATGTAGATGTAATAAGTTTTCATTACCACAGAACTGAAAGTATTTGCTTTCTTTGCTCATGAAGCGGTCATAATGTTACCCATATTAGCGATGATCCTATTAAGGTGCAACTTCATGACATTTCTACCTAGTGTTATATTAATTCCTGGCTTATGGGAAGAGAAAGGACAGGTAACGGATGTGTGGCATTTAGGAGCGTTTGTGGTTAGTCTAATTTGGCATCCCACTGCTTTTATGCTGCCCTCCTCGTTCAGGTTAAATTACAATGTTAGCGTTTGGACTAGATTTTCTGACTTTTTTTTGCTTGGGACAGATGAAAGTTGTAAATGGACTGGTCCAGGAAATTTAATTTTATGGATGTCGGGTAGCTTCCTCCATTACTCGTTGTACACCTGACATAACGTCCACCTTTACTGATAACATCTGTATCTGTTTTTTCAATCTGGGGACGACATGTGACTGGAAGGTATTTGAACTAGCCGATGTATTGAGTTGAAACCAATCTTGTTCAGGTGTTTTCCTGGGACCAACACCGGCGCCTTGAAGTGGTGTAAATTCACAAGTCCCGTGTGTGGACTTTGACAAAATAAATATTTCTGGGATCAATCGACCATGTCAATTTTTAAAGGTCTCTCGAAGAGTTCTTGTATTTACTTGCAGGCTTTCAATATGTCATACATTGTGATGAGCTGGGAAGGAGGAAATTGTGACTCGGCTCTGTACAGCTTCAACCCTACGACGCCGACCGTCCAACTGATGTATACCATTCCTGGGTCCGGCTACGGTCACCATTGGCTCTTTCTGGGCGGCACTAACTATGAGGTGAGCATCGGGTAGCATTGTAAAGAGGCGTACGAGGAGTTTCACTTGTACTCGCAAACTGTCAGATCAATAGTAGAGTTTATTGAAAACACACGTTATTATTTTACACTTCACCTAAATAGTTATTTTTGTTGAGCATAGGGATATATTTACTATAGTTTTATTATTTAGTATTGGTATTATTAGCGTAATTCCTGTTAATTTTCTTAAATAATAAGTGTCGTATAACTAAGGTTATTCAACTTTAGTGACAGTGTGTGCCTTAGGTACATAAGAGCACACCAGTAACTGGCACTACTTGACCACCTTACGTCTAGTTAGGTCACATTTACAGTTGGATGTTATGGGGCCGAGCACTGTATCCACTCAAGACGTCTAATTTTCATCCAACATTCATATATTCTAATAGTTAAGTTGTCCTTCATCTCAAACATTATGGACAACATAATCGATTAAGGTGAATATATTACATTAGTTTGGGGGAATACGAGTGTAGTAAAGGGAAAGTGGTTGGTCCCTTAACCTCCCAGAAAGGATTGCTAAATCCTGATATGTAAATATCCAATATTTTTTTTTAATTTGAGCAGCAATATGGATGGTTTTATTAAGAAGTTTTGTTTTAACGCAACTCGTTAATGCAATCTTGTATTTGATGTGCCAGTTGTTAGAGCAGTGATTAAAAGTTTTTTCTTTTTTCCTGGAGTCATATCGTCATTGTACCGTTTTAAGTGACTTTACTGGTCTACCACCAAGCAAAGATGGCTTCATAAAGTATGGACTCCATTCACCCAGACATTACTCTTCACCTACATCTCTGACGACAATATTTTCACTCCCTCTGGACGTTTGATCTATCACTAACACAACAGTTATAGGTAAAGTTATAACCCTATCTTGTTGTAGGTGTATCTGGCGATGGCTGCTTCTGGTTATCACAACAGCTGTACCAGGAGGAACAGCGTCATCTGGAAACTAACGAAAACCTCCATTATCGTAAGTCGAACTTCACACTGTCGTACCTGGTCTTTGGCTCTTGTCCTGCCTCCTGTAATTTGAATTCTTTAGCACGATTGACTGAGCTATTACACGTGCAAGACTGTTTGCTTAGTTATGCAAACAGATAACAAATTGGTTTATACATCCATTGTTTTTATATTTGTCATTGGTGAAGATTCACGGATATAAAGTGTTTTGAAATATTACCATAAACTGAAACCGGTTTAAGGTTTCCTCCTAGTGATGGAGCAGATACTGAACTGTAGATATATACTATGCCTCTGTAAACTGTACTCCAGGTGCACCGGGAGCTAGCCGCTGGAGAACACTTAACACAGGAGTCCTCTGACGATGTGGTGATCCTCTACGTGCACGCCACCAACCGCACCATCACTTACTCTCTCGGCCTTACCACAGGAGACGTCAGACAGATTTCCAACATCCCTGGAGCTGTTGGTAAGAATGAGGTTTGGTGGACGGGTGAGGGGTTTGGGCCCCCGGTGAAGGATTAGCTCTGACCCTTACTGTCAAAACATCTCCCTGGCACCCACCACCACCTATGTTTTTTCTGAACTCCTACAGTATCAGTAGGACAAAGTTTCACCCAAATTGAGAGAAATGATCAGAAGCAAGTGAAGGTGTGCTTGTTAGGGCACCCTCTCTCTACTACTTCTGCAGACGGTAATGGTCCCCTCTGAACTGTAGGAAAGTGGTGGACCTTTGTTTTACTCCTTGATATCTACAGCATCCTGTAAATATTACTGTTCAACTTCCCTGAAAAATTTCCTCTGCCATAAAATGCATAAATTGCTCGGCTCTTAAGGTGGTAATTATTAATGAGAAAACGTAGAATGTGGATCCTCAAATATTGTAAGATTTTCAGAGGAAGAATCTAAATTTACTTAACCTGAGTGGACACTAAATTTCATGTCCTTATTGTACTTAACGCATCACAGAGAACATAAAACCATTCTACACTCAAGGTATTGTAATGCTCTTGTCCTCAGATATGTACAGGATGCTGGAGACAAAGAACGGGGTGAAGGTGTCATTCCAAAGCCACCAGGGACGAGGCACGCTGTTTGTAGGAGGGCTACCAGGAGCGATCGAGGTGGCAGAGAGGATCGACGATAGTGTGCTGCTGGAACAAGGCGACAGCGTCTTCCTCCTCCTGGCTGTCACGAGGATCAAGATGCACAAAGAGGAGTACGTGCTTGAGGTACGAACCACAATGACCTACTTTAGAAATCTGAGAGGGTACCAGGGTCATGCTACTACTACAGTGCTCTGGTGAATCGTGGGATGGTACTAGTGGTCTGGTGAATCATGTAGGTCTTTATCAATGTGGTGATCAATTGAGACTGAACAAATTAGTCTTGTAATCATGATAGTTTGCCTTGTATAATGCTGGAGTTTATTGATCGGTTCCTCATTTGTCCAAACTATAATATTTCGTATACAATTTGAGATTAGGTTTACTAAGTTCTCATAATCTTACCTTTTGTATACAGGATAGTTTTTAGATTACGTTTTTTTATTAATATTCAGTCCCTCGATAACTCCAGCTATGGGGGAGAACTTTTGGAGCTCTGAAGACCGAATCCTTTGCAATGATTGTAGAGGTTTATTATTCACTCGGTCAGTTATTTTCCTGTAGCTGTACATCATCCATCACCTGCTCGGTCAATCGTTGCAATCTTGAACTAAAAACTTTTTTTATGAAGTATTTCGGCTGCAGATCATCAGGTTGTTGCAAGAGTAGAGTACCCACAAAGCAAACGGGTATTGCAGCTGTATGTTAACCAGTAATTGATGACGATACACTACCTAGCCTCGTTAGTCAATTACCGCAGCTGGGTTTTTTTGCTCATTAGCCAATCATTAAGGGTATGCACTGCATTACGCTGGGTTTTCATTGCAGCTACTGTTATCCATTATCGAAGCTGTATATTTGCCCACTAATCAATAATTAATTATACATGAATGACCCTTACACCAATCATTACAGTTTTACATTATTAACAATTCCACCAATCATTGCAGTTGTACTTGGTGGACATACCAAGAAGGGCTCTGACTTGGATGGATATACACATACTGCCAGCCAAGATCCAGCTGACTGTGTTCTTCGCTGGGGTTCCAGCCACTGGCTCCTACATCATTATTGCCCTGCAGAAGAACCGAGTACCTGTGGTCTACACCTTGATCGGTGAGTGTATATTGTACTATTACAAGTAATTCTAAATTGTTTACTCCATTACAGCACTATAGTAGGGTATTTGGAATTCGATTTTGTTTAGCTTGTGCTGCAGTCTTTTGTTCCGGAAGTAGAATTCCGTTACAACCGGTTCCTCTGCAGAGTTCTCTTCTATACGCCTAGTCCTTAAAGAAATCTGCACCCATAAGGCTGGGGGTTATTTTATTTTCAGTGATTCTAGAGCAGCACTGTCTTTGGAATCTTTCAATCCCACCCACCCTCTCGTTTTAGATAGTTTTAACTGCCTAGTGGTCCTCTGGCGGCGGGGCCATAATGTGGATTTCTGTTGGGTTCCTGCTCGTGTGTCTGCGAGGTAATGATGGCTGAAGAAGTGGACAAGTCTGCTGCCTCGCATGTTCCTTTGTGCTCCCTCCCTCAGATTCTTCCAAGCAGTCAGGTCAGCCGTCCAAGCCTCTTGGCAGCTGCAGTGGGACAATTTATCCGTTCCCAACAAATTGCGAGAGGTTACAACAAAGCTCTATCCCTGGATGCCACGCTGCTATGAGACTTGCCGTTCTACGTGTTGGCCACTCTCTCCTCACCCACAGTTTCCTTATGGCCAGAGGACCACAGCCCTATTGTGATGGCTGTCTGGTGCTACTGACAGTGCGACACTTACTGGTAAAGTATCCGTCATGGGGACTTCAGGAGTTTTCTGGCAGTTCCGAGTGCTCAGCGGGGAAGTTCAATAATTGGTCGTGGAATTTTTGACAAATAGAAGGAATTAACCACATGTGATTTTTAAAGGAGTATCGATAGTTGTTTTTAATTTTGATATTTAAACTTCATTGAATTTTTTATAACCGTTTTTAATTTTCTTTTTTGGCGTGAATTGGCCACAGGCTGCGACGCCAGATATTTATTCCAATAAATCAAACATTGTTGCGTGTCCACTTTTTCCATCTCCAGGTCGGCTATGACTTGAGTACCTTTCTCAAAACTGTAATCATATCTACTACAGATGTAACTTGCATTACTTAAACTAATTTTAGTCCGTCTTTCAGCTTTATCTTTAAGAGCTCCCACTTTCCCTTACAAATTATCTATCTTCCATCATGACCTTTACCTTCACAAAGCTAATGTATCGATGACCTCCTTCCCAGTCCTGACCCCAACCAGTCAATTATCCAGTACACTCGAGTCCCAGGTTGAATAATTAAGTGCTAAAGTAAACACTGCTGCCCTACACCAATGTTTCTCAAAAGCGCCAATGATGCCCTACTGTTTCAGGAGAAATGTTGAAGGAATTTGCACGCCTGAGTACACCGCGGGTTGGCTGGTCTCAACACCTGACAGTGCCCAATCGCTACGTGCCTGGCATCCAGGACCATTACCTGCTGCTGGGGCAGAACGACCGTACCACCATCCTCTCTCGCCTTGTAATGAAAGGTGCTGCATTGCCTAGCAAAGAACTTCATTGTGATCTAAATGAATTCAACATCCCCTAAACGGCTTCTTGTAAACTTAAGAACTTTGTGATCTGGTCGACAAAATAGATTACATCATATCGTGTGACTTGGACGACTTCTCCACATTCTTCCTGCGCTGTGATCTGAGGAACTTAATCATTTACTAAGTAGATGGATAATAAGTTTATTGGATTGTTTACAGCCACAAATGGACCAGCTCAGGACCTTCGGTGAAACATAGAACTTGACTTGTTCTTACATACTTAAATACGGCACATGTTGATTTTCTTTAAGCTGAACAATGAGCTCTTTTAAATATTTATTTAAACGTTGTAATTTTTAAATTTGTTTTCTAAAATCTGATTAAAATACGGTCTTAGCTATGAGTTTTGCTGACCTTTTACGGTAATTTGTACGATGTGGACGAATGGTAAAAGAACTCGTTACTTTGAGACTATTCTATGGTGTTGATCTTGAGCGCTGAGGTTCAAGAACTCTGGCAGAAATCTTAAGACATCCCCAAATGTTCATGTTGCTGGTTACCATATTACCGAATAACCTGTCAAACCATCCTAGGCATATATTCCATCACCTTTGTTGCGTCGGATTGCTATAACCAAACTTCCTAATAAGACTCGTCGGTGGTAACAGACTTGGTTTATTACGGTGACATATGAGGGGGCATGTGATGTACACTCCCACCTTATGTCAATGAATTTCCTTCGCTCTGAAACCTAATTTTATGACACCGATGTTCAATTTAGCAAATGTGTAAATTTAGACATCTGAGCCAATAAATGTCATTCATATTAAACACTGTATCCAAACCTTCATATTTAAACAAACCCGCCATATTGCTTTACCCCTGAATTGCAGAACGTTTTGACGTCCCTCGTGTCAAATCTCGACGGTGAACAGTGAGGATGCTTAGGTTAAAAGTGGAGGAAATTTTATATTTACTGTGGTTAGCTGCTTCTTTGTCTACCGATTTTATCCTTGAAATATTTTTTCAGTATATTTTGGCCTAACAGAATAGTTATTGATGTGGAATTTAGTCTATTTTTTTTAAATTCATAAGATTTATTTTAGACATTTGTAATGATATATTGGACGTCAACAACCAACTCTTTCGGGACAACAGGAGAGAAGTCACTCGGTCAAATTAACTTAAAACGACATTTGAAGGTAACTGTTGTGATTGAAATGCCCAAATCTTTCTTCATGGACAGGTAGAGCCAATAAGAAGACAGAACTGCGATTGCCATACAATGAACATCTTCCTAAATGATCAATACACTAATGCCACAACCTAACCATCAACATGAACTACGACGTTACACACAGTTTGCAAGATTAATCTTTACTTCCGAGTCTGCATAAGACAATACCTACTCTGGATAAAACGAACTGTCGCTAGTAATCTATATATGGCATTTTACAATATTCATAGTAGGTGGTGGCAATGTTAGCAGTGAATTTCCTCGTTACGAATATTTTCTAATTTATATATCTCTTATTGGGAAACACTAGAAGGGAGTTGGGAGAGGTATTAATTAAGGCCCGTCCACACGATCGAGCAGTGCCCGGTGGGCACGCGCTAAATGCCCGTTATCAGGCAAAATTGGCGGGCAAACCAGTGGAGTGCCCTTGCCCGTCGTCGAGCGAAATCATGGTCCGCCTGCCTGGTGGTTTGCTGCCTGATCTGGAGAGACCACTTTAAGTACTGCAAATGTGATATGCATATGTTCCCAGCTCGGTCCAGATGTCCAGTGTATAACCAAATAAGCTTATGCAATGTACATTATTGGCGTGACAATAAACAGGAGATTGTTTGTATTATGTAATGAGAACATTCGTGTGTGTTCTTCGTTCCTGCCGCTCTCCTCACTCTAGTCCCATAGCTTCCTGTCTATGCACATCATAATTCTAACATTATTCAATGAATTTTTATGTATTACAAATCTCACCTGCAAGTAATCTTCCTTGAGTACTTCATACATGGCTTGACAAGTTGCAGGTATTATGCCAGACAAACTTTGTTTTGATATCTTCGTTCTATACTGAAGTGACGTGTAGGTGCACCCAGTTGAAAGATATGAGCGTTGCCTCTGGACGAGCCTCTGCAGATATACTCTCCCTCATATTGGTATCCTGTTATATATATATATATATATATATATATATATATATATATATATATATATATATATATATATATATATATATATATAGTTCCATTTTCCCTAGATGTTTGTCAAGTCTTGCTCATGTCCGTCTTGTCCATCTTGCAGTTCACGTAAAATCGTGGCATGACTTCAATGCTTTTCTTCGACCTAATCACTCTTTGCACCATTCCATTTTCTGCATTTGGTTCTTCTTTTTGCACATAGCAGCAATTATTATAGTACACAACGCAATGCTCTTCGCTGTAACTGTCCGGCGATTATTCCTGCAACACCATGGTGATCGTACCGCCACTGCCGACCACCTACTAGCTACCGGCGCCAGACTATGACTGCCGCCAACCACCCCCGTGTGTACAACAACTCAGTGTTTGCCTGGTAAACGGGCAAACCCCACCTGGCACTGCTCGATCGTGTGGACGAGGCCTTAGTGAGTAGAAACACTGGAGAATAGAGTATGTGAATAGGGAGGGGAATGAAAGGAGAAAGCTAAATGGAGAAAAGGGAAGAATTAAGAGAAAAGGCTGACTAATGGAAGAGATCAAATTTGGAGAAGGAGGATAGAGAAAAGTAATGGAATGAACAAGGAAAGCCGCAATAGTAGTAGGTAGTGGGTACGTCGATGGGAGAAAAGGGAGGCAGGCAGGCAAGTAACAAAAGAGTGGGAGGAAGGTAACCGAGGGAGAGAGAAGATCCAAGTGGACAGATTTCCCAGACAATGTCCCAGGTCACTCCTCCTGCCGAATCTAATGAATTAAAAATGTTCGTCGGTCCCGGAGCTTCCTAATGGCTGCCTCACCTCCCACGAATTTTACCACCAAAACATATTGTGCACAAGGGCAGAAAAATTTCTTGTGCATATATACATGTATGCAGCACGTGTTAGGCCATGTTTGTGAAATTGTCCAGTTCGTGAACTGGGCTGCTTACCTAAAGTTAGATTACGTTGGATTAGATTGTTAGGTTTAGTCAGCAGCCCATTTCACGAACTGGACAATTTCACAAATGGGGGGCGACGCTCGCACGCGCGCGATTACAGCTCAAATCAAGCAAGAAAAGCGGGCAACACCGGTACGGCAATAAGGTTAATCATCTCAGCCGTTATAATTTTTCTCTCGGATGTTGACACAGCCTACAGGGCAAGTCTCCAAAACATAACATCCACTTGGCGCCTCAAACAAGAACAGTGACCTCCCTGACAACGTCAATATGAAACCAGTATTTAAAGCGGCCTTATTTTCCCACCTGATTCTGCAGGTAGGGTCACAGGGCTAACACCACGATACTTAAAGTAAATGGTTTTATCTACTGGGCGATATTCCACTCTACTGCCACTCGAGCTGCTAGGAGAAAATGACTGAATCAGGCCTATTACTGTTGACACTTTTCGCCGCTTTGTTGCCAAGGTAACTATGACCAGAGAAAACGGAGAAGTTCTTCCTTGTTAAAAGCAAAATAATTCGATTCTGGGATTCCCCAAAGTATTAGGTCAGCATCCAGCTAGGGCGAGACCTCATCAGTCTTATGGACGAGAAAGGCTTGGTTAAATTGTATTTCAAGAATACCTTCAACATGGTCACAAGTTGTGGTTTAAAGCACTTTGATATTTGCAGTGTCACCAACCCGTCACCAGCTGTTATTTACAGTGGTGACACTAATCGGAGAACGTGTGATTAACTCGCACAAAAGTGTTTGACAGTCATTTCTTCGACCCTTTACTCTCTTACCTTATAACTTAGGAAAACACTTCAGCTTGACAGTTAACTCCTTATCGCTGGCACTTTAGTTCTCCCAGCAGAACCCTTATCTCTGTATTAAACCGCTCAAGTGTAAAACGGTCTCCAACCGTCACATCGTCGACCAGATGGTAACTGCCTCGTTGGGGATCACGTCACTGGCCCTGCACACTACACTGTCCTTGATGCCTCCCTCATAAAACAACGCTGATGCCATCCTCGAGTGAGAGGTGACCTGACCAGGATGAACGACATACTCCTGACCCTTCGGCCTCGTGCACAGGTGTCCGACATTCTTACTTCTAGAATTACTCTTCTTTCTACACCTTCAGGCTAAGTGAGCAGGATACTCTGCTGAGGTCCATGTACTCGGAGATTTGCTCGACCCAGTCAGCTGTTGATTAATAAAGTAGTCTGGCATTACTCACATTGACAACTGCCAGAGATCAAGATTTACCAAGTTGCTGGTGTGTAGCAGTAGACAGGTAGCTCCTTTTCTCGCAAAACAAAATGGTGAACATTTATGCACAGTAATTAGAACATCTCATGAACTGCCTTTTTACAGTAAGCAGAAGCAGGTGCCATATCGTTCCTATAATAGCGGATATAACGGTGAATTTTAGATAAATAAAATCTTAATATTCCTGAAGATTCGAAACTATTACCTGTGTGTTTCATTTATTCATTATAATTTTTATTAGGGGGAAATCACTTGTTGTGATTTTCCCCAACTCGCTTGATTACTTCCTCTGATCTGGACCGTTTCATAATCTTTCACATAAATTTGGTGTTGATCAAACAAAAAAAAAAAACATACAAACATACCTTCATACATACTCTCTAGGTATATACACGAATACATAAAAGATTTTCTTTCTTTTATCTCTCTCTCTCTCTCACTCACTCACAAAATAACCTCCACGCCACCCTCCCACAGAGCTTCCTTGGTGTGCTCAGTCGTGTGTATGATTGTCTGAAGGTGATCACGAGTCTTCCAGTCAGTCGACAGATTTTTTCCCCCCTGGAGAGCTGCAGCAGCTGCGCCAAGTCACTGAAACTGAATATAGATGCCGTTTGTTAAAATCCGTTCGAGAATTGTTGCTACGTTGTTCCTTCCTTATGGTAATAAAATGTAAAGTAAGATCTTAGAATTTGATGACGCTTTCTTCCGCCCCCCCTCCCTTGTACCTCATATTAAACCCCCTCCCACCTCTATACGTTCGTCTCCTAGATTAAGGTAGCCGTCTCCGGGGACATCCAGTAGAGAATTAGTGAGACGGAGGGAAATGGAGAAGGAAAAAGACAGAGTAGAAGGAAGCAAATGGAAGAGACAGTGAAAGGAAACAGAAAAAAAAAGGAAGGCCGAGACAAAAAATAAAAATAAAATATGGCAATAGTAAAGGAACAAGCTGCTGTAATTTCCTCAACACTTTAGACGATAGTAAAGATAATCGTGAAATGAAGAATCCAGTAGATGCAACAAAGCCCACACAAATAAACCACAAGGACGTACCGTGAACCTGTGTCGTGTGAAGGCTGACACACCCCGCCCAAACGGAACAAGAGCCGCTGAATAATAAATATAAAGTTATCAAATATCTCAAGTGTGTTTACTTCGGATCTCAAGACAGAAGAAAATTGGATTGTCGCTTCGCCACATACACTCCGACATAGGACGTTGCCAATCATATTTGTCAATGTTTCGGAAATAATGCAAGAACGACACCGGTCCCTGTCGCGAGTGGGCAGAGAGAGAGAAAGAGGAAGCCTCCAATCACACTTGCCAGTGCTTGTGGAGCGTCAGAAGGCTCTCGTCCTGATCACAGGTTCGCCTCCCCCCCCCCCTTAACCTCCGCCCACACCCT